TTTTTTGTCCCTTGCAGTAAGGGGATAGCCTCAAAGAATATCTGAGTATATGTAGAGCTGGATAAATAATTCTAAAAATTTATTTGTTAAATGATTTATTCCAAAAAAGACAGACGTGTTAAATCATTTTCATTAATATTCAGTCTGCTCTAGATGGAAATCAACACAGAAAGCAAGACAAAAGGACCTTCCTTCTTCTTAGCAGATGTCTCCTTCTGTTGACCAGTTTTAGGGCTTGAATTGAGATTTGGATGAAATTTATTTCAATCTTCCGTGTCCTGGTCACACAGAAGTATGCATTTAATCTGCAAGTACATTTTAAGGTATGGAAGAAAAGTATCTTCTTGCATTACTGCTTCTAATTATATTAAGAAAATTAATAGTTCTTATTTCTGCCACAATTCTGCATGTTTTTCTCCCGTGTTGTGAATAATAAAAACTTGTGTTTTATAGATGACATGGTCTTGTTTCATCATTGCATCTGGTGCAAACTCAGTTCTGTCTGGAAAATTAGGCCGGTAATAGGGGAGGGGAACTGAAACCTTCTGGCTCTGCTTTCTGGCCTGATTCAGGTGATACCCATTGTTTTCTACATTTACATTATGTCTACATTGCAATTAGACACCCACACTGGCCTGTGCCAGCTGACTCAGGCTTGCAGGGCTCCAGCTAAGGGGCTGTTTAATTGCAGTGTAGATGTTTGGGCTCAGGGTGCAGCCCAAGCTCTGGGACACTACAGCCTGAGCCCAAATGTCTATACCACAATTAAACAGCCCCTTAGCCTGAGCCCAAGTCAGTTGGCATGTGCCAGCTACAGGTGTCTAACTGCAGTTTAGACATACCCAATATATCCCTATTTCCGTCCTATACAATTATTTGCTACAAATCAAATGTAATTTGTAGTGGTGCCTGAAACCTTCTTGTTTGTTTCTGAAAGTTTGGACATCTTCAGTTTTGACTTCACCCTACTGATTACAGTCAAATAATTTGGCCATGCAGCAGGGAAGGATCTCTTGGAACCTTTATTGCACCTATAAAATTTTCTAAATCCCTGGAGGTGGGAAAGAAGAACAGATTGTTCTGAAATTGAGAGGCTACATTGGCAATGTTTCCTTTTTGAAAGGATTAGTATGTGCTAGAGAGACCTTTGGTGCTACTGCATTTAGCTGTTCTTCTGCATGGTATGCTTTGTTAGATTTCCTTAGCCTTTTTCAGTACATGATCAATGTGTTATATAGAAAGATGTGTGTGACATGGGACCAGGATGGTGTCTGCTCTTTATTGGCACAAGTGACAAAACTTTTAAATCTGGCAGGCTTACACTGCTCAACTACTTTTATAGACAGCCCAGTGCATTCACGTGCTGTATTATACCCTAACCACTTATTGAAAAGAATGAGAGGAAATAGTGGGAAGAATGATAATAATATTCCCTCCATAGACACTTCTGCCAAAAAAACCAAAAAAAAACAAAAAAACTTGTACTTGCTTCCGATCATTCTAGTGGGCTTGTCACAGAATACTCCTCAGCACAATATAGTACTGTAGCTGCTACAGCTAGAATAATCACTCAAATACCGTTAGGCAAACCAGTAAAGAGTTTATAATCACCTCTGTAAAGACATTATCTTTTTTTTTTCTGAAGGCCCATATTGGTTTAACAAATCGTCCTAAGTACAACATAAAATAATGAGTAAATTTGGCAGCAGCTCAGGTTGCTGCATTAATATATATAAATTAGATTTTTGGAGTCTTAAATGCAATGTCTAGTACGTTTTCAGATATCCTTTCAAAATCTGTTACAATATGCTTCCGCTATAAATGAACTCAATGCATGAGCAAAAAATAACGTAGATCATAAAATATACAAAAACCCAGCAGAGTCAGAGAGAATGAGAACTTTCCATTTTCATGTGGGCTCAAGAATAGGAATAATCGTGTTGAACATTGCACCCTGAATACACTGATAATTTCCTGCCAATGGAGCACAGGAAACAACAAACTGTTTTTGAGGTTGGTTAAAGACATTTTGCCTATTGTGTCACAAACACAATTCTTTTGAGTGCTGAATGCAGTAGTGTATTAATCTAAATCTGAGTTTTAGGAATAACAGAAGGAACCTAAATGCTAATATAATCTTCTTCAGACAGCACTTAACTAAATAAAATCTTCATGCTTTTGCTAAATCATTGTTAAGCTGCTGCATTAGGAGAGAAAACATAAGTAACTGGAAATCTGATAATTTCCCTAAAAATACAGCAAACATTCTTGTCCTCTTAAACAAGAAGATATTAAATAATAATAAAAATATTACATTTATGATTACCACAAACAGTATTTCACTAAGATCAGCTCTCTAGACATTAGGGGAGCTCCTATATCCTACACAGTATGAGTGGTTCCTTAACATGCTTCTTGGTATCACTTGCTTGGCAACATTGTTAGTTCCAGCATACTGCTGGCAAGGATTATTTTCTTTGGTCAGCTGATAAACCTGAACAAAACTAACTATAGCTCCCAATTATAAAGTACAACTGCTAGAGAAGGCTCTATGCGTTATAATGGTGAACTGGGTGAGGGACTGACACCAAGGAAATAGAAATCTCCCATTTCTTCAAAGAACAGGTTTAAGATGGGTGGCTGCGGTGCAAGTTTCCTATAAGGCACCCACCAACCTGTACATTTTGTGAGGCCACTTTTAGAGTAAAAAGTTAGGCAGTTTTGTTGTCATGACTGTTCTCTGCTTACTTAACCCCTCTGTTGTCACTTCTAATAGGAGCACCAATTAGCTTTAACTAGGAGTGTGTGATTGTTATACCCTGTCTAACAGGAACTGGGCTGATATCAATTAATTTCAAATAATCAGCTAACCTGTCAGATGGCAGTGATGTCTGTGTTCCTAGTATCGACAGATCATGAGTGAAAGTTTTCATGTGCTATTACCAAATTCCTAAACATCCAGTCCCCAACAGGATTTATTTTATTTATAAAGATATTTTCTTGGACTCGTCATTTTACCAGCTTTGTTTTTCCTCACTTCCCCCTCTCCTAGTCTGTCAATGATTGGCTCTGAAATCAAACAGAGCTTGGATCGGTGGGCTGCAGCCACTAATGCAAAAGTAACTCTTCTAACTTAAGGGCATGAGAGGTGCCTTACTGTATTGGGTGTCTGCAACAATCAAAAGCAAAGTAATAAACTAAGAGTCCAATTCTGCAGACACCTGTTAATGGACATAGTACTTATCCTACGATCCTGACTAATAACAACAAGATTGAAAGACAACTGGGCATAGAATACATATCTTAACAAAAAAAGTTGGATTATCAAATATTGTATCAAAATCTGGCCAGTCACCATCCTGACTGTGCACAAAGCTGTGAACTGGGGAATCTTATATACACTTGCGTGGCACTTGCTATGCCAAAGGTATTATTTCCTCATTTTCAATTACCATCAAATTGATTCTTTCTAGGTGTCTCAAGCTGAGCATCTAAAAATTGATTCACCCAAATCACTAGTCACTTCTGAAAATACAGGTCCTCTCTCTATATATATGGCTAGGATTATCTAGAAAGGCTACTACATGGAAGAAATAGGAAATTCCACTACTAAGTGTGAGGAACCGGCCTTCAGGCAGTATCACTATATCACATGGGTGCAAAAGGAAGACTTTCTTTCCTGCTTAATGAGCTTCAAATGGTGGCTGAAGATTCATTTTTCTCCATCACAAAACATTCAGGGAGAATGGGCACATCTACACTATGATAAAAAACCGCAACAGGGAATCTCAGAGCTTGGGTCAGCTAACTCAAACTCACAGGGCTCAGGCCGCTGGTCTAAAAATTGCAGTGTCGACATTCAGGCTCAGGCTGGAGCCCAGGCTCTAAGACCCTCCCCACTTGCAGAGTCTTACAGCCCAGGGTCTCTCCCGAGTCCAAACACCTACATTGCAATTGTATAGCCTGCAGCCCAAGTTCCATGAGGCCAAGTCAGCTGACCCAGGTCAGCCATGACCCAGCCATGCTGCGGGTCTTTTATTTCAGCATCAATGTACCCAACGTGAGCAGGGAAATTATGTCACTTCAGCAGTGCAAGATACCTCTGTACCATAAACCAATTGTAATCATCACTTTTCTCAGGTAAGGGATCCCCTTTTCCAGGCTAGTGGGAAAAAAATCTTGAAGCCAAGTTATTTTCAGAATGAAAAAGTGGTTAGATTTTTTTTTTAAACTGAAAGGTAATCAGGGCAAGGAGGAAAGCACATGTGGTGATGGTTGAAGTTTTTTTGGGATGGGAGGGAGAGGATGAAACAAGTCTAAATAACAGCCCCTGAAATGGATATTTTGCAGCAAGCATACAATTAACCATCAGCAATGATCTTGAATCTAAAGTAGTCTAAGATGTTTAAGGGTAATTGATAATGAAAAGGATTAAACTGGGTTTTGTACCCAATAGAAGGTGTTGGGCAAAAGCAGCAGAATTTTGTGCTGTTGTGATTTAAAATAATCTGTACTCATCGGAATGTTGAAAAATTAGTCAATGAACTCCTTTTATATGTATATATTACACACACACACACACACATTTTGTCCAAATTGTCTAATAACATCCTAATTGGCATATTCAGTAGAAAGATAAATTGGGGGGTTATTAGATTTATAGAGACATATAAAATCTTCAGAAATAATCTTATATTGGCAGGACAATGGATAAAGGGACTAAAGAAGTCAAATTCCATGTCTAATGTCAAAGATTGCAGTCCTAGAAGCATAAATAAACACATAACTCAACAACATAGGTGAGAGGTTTTTCGCAGGAGTGGTGGGTGAAATTCTGTGGCCTGCTTTGTGCATGAGGTCAGACTAGATGATCATAATGGTCCCTTCTGACCTAAATATCTATGAATCTATGAATATATAAATGCATTTACAGTATACCCTTGAATATGTGAATAAACTGTAAGTGACAGATTCTTTTAACAAATTAAAAGTTTCAATACCTTATCCTCTGCCTGGTTTTGCCCTCTTTTTAGGTCTTCCACACGACTTCTCAGCTTCTTAACCTCAGCCTCGTGTTGTTCCACTCTTTTGTTTGCATGCATCAGTTCCGCCACTTTATCATGAAACTGCTTGTTTAGCTTGTGGTGTGCATGCTGCAGCTCAATGAGCTCCTTTTAAATAAAAACAATACCATTCAGATACTGAAACACATCTGGGGACTGAAACAGCTTAGAAATATTCTTAAGGGAAGTTTTCTATCAGGGAGCCTGCTTTGGCTGTTGAAAGTCTTGCTTATAAAAAAAACTGGTTAAGTATATTCCAGTTAATATTTATTTTAACAAGAACAATTCTGCATTTTCAGGTGAACTTAAAGTGTAGGACCTATTCACATCACTTCACAAAAACTATAGGGAGGGCAGATCTTCAGCTGGTGTAAATTGTCTTTATATCACCACTGACACCAATGGAGCTATAAAAATATACACCAGCTGAGAATCTGGCCCAGGGTCTTTTATCACAGCATTGCAACTGTAACATGCTGCCACTGAGGAAGAAAATAGTCCCTTCAGTAGAGAGCTGTGAGAAATGTCAGGGCTGTCTGTGACTGTCTGAGGAGAATTGCTGTGGAAAATTACATGACATTTTATCAAAAGACAGAGGTTGTTACAGTTAAACTGGTGAAGCTTCCAATCCATTTATCAAAGCCCTTTCAGTTCTTATTTCAAGGTAGATGAAACAAATATTAAAATAAAGTTAATCTGTTTCTGGAACATTTTAAAAAGTAAAATAAATCTGTTCATACCTGTTTTCTCTTGCCAACTCTTAAATTAAATACACATTTTCATAACTAGTTAACCTCTATCCTCTGTGCTAAGGTATTAATCATTTGGTCAAAAATCTTAAGAGTGAAAACGAAAGTGATAGCAGAGAGATGCAACTAGAAATAAAAAGTTTGTGTAGTCAAGACAAAATGTTTTACATTTGAAAGTAGCAGTGAGTATAAGAGCTACCTTGTTTGGAATAAGAAACTTGATTATAAAGAGATTATTGTTATTTTTACTAATTTATATTGTGGTAGTGTCTGAAGTCCCCAGCCCCATTGTGCTAGGCACAATACAAACACAAAAGAAAGACAGTCCCTACCCTGGACACCTTATAATTTAAGTAGAAGTACATTGCAGCCTAAGTAAATTGTGAAGAAATTTGAAACATCAACTGAAACTCAGGACACTAGCTGGCATCTATCTGAGTGTCTTTGATTTGATCATCTATACTGAACATTTAGAGCTTCTGGTTTTTTGGTGTTCATTAATTTCATTTTTGAGGTTAATCGGGGCTTTTGAGGGCTTTCTCTTCATATACATTGTAATGAGTAATGTATATTGTATAAATTGCTCATTACACTCGTATATACTGTAATAAGTAATCTTTTGATAACGTTCCCTAGTGTGCTTTAATGTAGTACTGTCTCAAACAGCACTACGTTAAAAGAAAAAGAGGCCACTAAGAGGGGATATGATAGAGGTCTATAAAATCATGAGTGGTACAGAGAAAGTAAATAAGGAAGTGTTATTTACTCCTTCTCATAATACAAGAACAAGGGGCCACCAAATGAAATTAACAGGTAGCAGGTTTAAAACAAACATAAGAAAGTATTTTTTCAAGCAACACACTGCCAGCCTCTGGAACTCCTTGCCAGAGGGTGTTGTGAAGGCCAATACTAGAACGGGATTCAAAAGGGAGCTAAATAGATTCATGGAAGACAGGTCGATCAATGGCTATTAGCCAAGATGGGCAGGAATGGTGTCCCTAGCCTCCGTTTGCCAGAAGTTGGGATTGGGTGACAAGGCATGGAACACTTGATGATAACCTGTCTGTTCATTCCCTTTGGGGCACCTGCCATTGGCCACTGTCAGACGACAGGATGCTGGGCTTGATGGACCTTTGGTCTGACCCAGTATGTCCATTCTTATGTTCTTATGCACCAAGTAACCTTTCGTGCACACTAGCAGGGTCTACACGGACCAATTAATGTGCAACACATTAGTGTACTTCAGAAATCATAACCTCATGGTTTTCATTAATGTTCCCTATAGACAAGCCCTTAGATACAAGTAAGCACTTTCTGTGTTTTTCTGGCATTTATTGGATAAATGCCAATTTCTTTTTTTTTCTTTCTTTTTAAACTTATCTTATTGGGGGTGCTATACTGATGTTTATTGGTAAAAACAGAAAATCAGAAGTCCTATGAATATTTCAATGTAATTAGCATTTATAGTTTTTTTTAAAAAAGTCCACAAGCCCTAAGCATCTGCTTCAACTATTATACTCTCCTGCCTCCCTGGTTCCCAGTTTATTCCTGTAAGAGTAAGGCCTGGTCTACACTACACAGTTAGGTGGACACATGGCAGCTTACATCAACCTAGCTGTGGATGTGTCTTCACTTAATTTGGCTCTTGCTGACATAAGTGCCTCCCTGTGCAGATTTAATAACACCAGCTTCATGAGTGGTGTAGAGTCATGGTTGATATACTTAGGTCAATGCAGTGAATGTGTAGACACTGCATTACTTATGTCAACCATTACTGTCCTCCAGCAGCTGTCCCACATTGCCCCATACTGACCGCCCTACTCATTATTGTGAATTCAGCTGTCCATTATTGTGAATTCAGCCTTTTCCCTCTGACACCTTTTAAAGCCCATCAAAAGCCACAATTGGTGTACATATACCTGAAATGGAAATGACTGTTCTTTCCCCTTCATGAGTTCTGTTCCTTTAATGTATTAAGTTTTAAATCTTTTTTTTTCAAATTGCCTGGTTCATGTTAAAGATTATTTTGGTCCAAAAAATAGAATTTTATTCTGTCAATGAGGCTCTGATTTTGATGTCTCTGTGCTGGAGGGCTAGGGCAAGTTCGGCATGTAGATCCAGGAATGTGGCCTTGCACATCTGAAAGTTCTGCACCCACTGCTCTTCATCCCAAACCTGCATGACAATATGATCCCACCAGTCCATGGTTGTTTCTTAGGCCCCGAACTGGTGCTCCATCATGTCTAGTTGCTCTGTGAATGCCACCAACAACCCTGAATTGTTTCTTTCCACAGCACTCTAGCCTCCAAGGCATCCTCACGTTCCCCACAGCTCCTCTTGTGGCTCTGCAAATACGGCAGGATTATGCAGCCTGCGCTTGCAATGCCCATGGTAATAGTGCAGAGCTCCGCAGGCTTCCAGCTTCTGTTAGAGGTGGTGGCCAGCAAGGAGAGACACGTGGGTTTGTGGGGATGCTAGCAAGTAGGTGCCAGGTTAGCCTATCCTTATTCAGACTCGTTGTGGTACCAGAGATGAAAAGGCATCTTTTTTAAGTACGGGAGTCCACTCACATGGACAGCAGGACTCCAAGATCAGCTATGTCATATTCTTGATTAAAATATACCATTTCTGAGGTTGGAGACTAGTATTATTGCTTTCCTAGAGCCCCACAAAATATGTCTGTTCTCAGGGCATGAATGTTACAGTTGATTTCTAGGAGTCCTTTAGTGGCATGTACCATCAGCTGCTGTTTCTGTTTGGTGTTTTACACAGTTGCCTTCATTTTTACCTCAGATATCTAAAACCACTGGTTTCTAACTTTGTGTGCAGATGTAACTGGAAGCCATCCAAAGTCTGAGCTGTAGATAAAAGGCCAAACAGCTAGTGACTAGAATGCAACATAAAGAGGTAATGATAAAATAAAGGTTCTTGTTATTTTGTTCACTAAACTTCTTCCAATGAATCCTGAATGTTTAAAAATACAAAGCAATGTCAGATAATGCTTTTAAGAAGCGACTGTCTTTCCATTGCTCTCAAAACCTTTATTTTTCCATTTCCCTCCCCAAAAATGTGAAAACTAATTCTCACTGGCTAAAATGGTATAACTGAGGTATCAGCTATAGTGATTTAAAACCATCAATCTTGTTCTGTTGAGCAACACAAAGTGACTTGAGGATACTGACCGGTTGAGATAGTTCACTTTGCAAAAGCAGAACAAGTATCAGTATATTTTAGTAGACTTTGAATGTTATAAGATCTTGAATAGTCACAAGATAGATTGGATGATCCAAGCACCAATCTCAGAAAGCCAACACTTCCCAACGGAGTGGCTGAGAATGAGTGTACTCTTGCCTAAACAGGTTCTTTTCCCACACTTTCCACTGCAATCCTGAAGCAGCCAGCTACACATAGGCAAGTATTTCACTTGTGTCTAAGGCATGCTGTCCACCAGGCATTTGGGGAACAGTTGGTGTTGTAAAGAGGCCAAAGGGAAAGATGTTTTATTGGCTGTGATAGTATCTTACCCCCTTTTTATCTCTGAGAAAAAGAGATGGGGAACAGGTAGTTGTCATGGAGTGGAATTGGATTTTGTATCCATACTGGATTATTTCTAACATCCACTAAAAAAAGGTGGGCGGGGCAATCCTTAAACGGGAGAAGGGTTTTCTTTCCCTGGATGGTCCTGACAAAGCTTCTCCACCCCAGAGAGGGTGTATGAGAGACCCTAGCAAGTGCTCACTCTTGCCCACCCACTAGGATTGCTGTGCATTGTATCTCCTCATTTGTGTGACGCTTCTAAAGCCTCAGCAAGCTGGTTTCTTACTTGGCCTCTCTGGCATATTTCCTGGGCTCTGACTCTCAGTCTGCTACCCCTCCTCAGAAATGGGGCTCCTCAGCCCACCTGCAATAAGCCCTACCACCAGCACTGACCCCCTATATATTCCAGTTACTTGAACATAGCTGTCTCTACCCAGAAGGTGTGAAGCTTCTGGTTTATAGTTCAGCTTTCTCGGGGCAAAAAGCAGTTGTGAAGCAGTTAACACACACTCATACACAGATTCTAACATCTTTATGTTTAATCATACAATGCACGAGTGTACAAATCATACAAAACAATAAATACTAAAGGCATGTCCCTCCCTCACTGTTTCAAGGCATTCCTTGGCTGAGGTCTAAGTCCCTTGGGTTGTCCAGAATCCTGGGGCCCACCTGGCTCTGGAAAGCTATTAGAAACTCCTGCCCCATAAGGCTGCTAGATGGCATGTGACCTCTTCCTTCTGGAGCCTCTTACCCAGTTTCTGTGAACTTTCTTTCTTTCTCCTGCCCCATGCTGCATCTACCTGTCTGGGTCCCCTATTC